CCGCCAAAGGCCCCCAAGACGCTCCAAGAGGCCTCCATTGGGGGACCCTTTCCTCGGTGTGCTACCCGCTTCCCTGATCGAGGCACTTCCTCCAGGCATCGTTTCTGGATGGGTTGGATGGGTTGGTGGGGCATTTTCTGTTTAGAAATGAGAATGCATGCGGTGCGCAATTTATGTGGTGCAATCGACGCGGTGCAACATGCGTGATGCAATCCATGTTGTGCACTCTATGTGGTGCAAACTGTGTGGTGCAATTTGCTGAAACAAACGAGTTGGCACAATACACGTTATTACAAACATCCCACCCATCCACCCGCAACTTGATTTGCTAAACCCATGCGGTGGCGCTTGCGACGCAAGCCTGGCGTTGGCTGGTGCATCTTTGCGGCCGCGCCTACCCCAAACACGCGCGCGCAGCGTCCAGCTAGTTTGGCGCGACCGACGCGGCCGCGGTGGCGCTGGTCGCTGGGCACATCCCACCGGGCACTCCACTGCGAGTCGGCGATTTGGTCGGGCGCGGTATCATGGCAACGTCGGCGACGGTAGACGCGATGATGATAGTAGCGATGCTGGTGGCGATGTTGACAACGACGACTGCGCGGCCTGTGCGCGCGCGGATGCTGATCACGCCGGCGACGACGACGGCGTCCTCGCATCGGTGGTGGTTTTTGTTTGGAACGAGTTCGACATGCGCGCGAGGCCGACGCACGACAGTGGAGCGCATGACACCATGCGACACGGATCGTGACCCCCGCCAGCACGCGCGCAAGTGCGTGCAAATGACGTCGGCATGCGGCGCCAGAGGCCCCTTTGGCTAAAGTCCATGACGATGCTGAACAACCTACGGCTTCTCTAAAGGATTCGCAAGAGCGCGAAATAACGCATGTCTGAAAACTGACGCTTCGAAACCGTATATTTTTATTCGTGTGTTGGACATTCGGTTTTGACATCGTTACGCAACCGAAGGTTTTTGACGGATTCCGGCATGCGCGCGTGACTACGCGCGCGCACTTCATCCCATGTTTGCAAAGGGTTTTCGCCACGGTACGCGCGCAGGGGCGTTCGAATGATTTCGACATGCGCGCGCGAAGCCCGTTTGGTAGCTTTCTACGAGAATGCGCAATGAGTTTCTTCAGAATTTGCATACGCGCGCAAGCTTTCTGTTTTGAAAATCCATGTTGCGAGACCCTGTCTGCTTATCTGTTTTGGACACTAGATTTTCTGACATCCTTATGAAACCAAGAATTGTTGACGGGTTTTTGGCGCGCGCGCGACAGAGCGCACGTGTGCACTTCACTTCACTTGCTGCAAGGAACTCCTGAAAACTGACGATGTGTGATAACAACGTGCGCACGCATATTTTGTTCGCAGAGGGTGGTGTGGGGGGGGGCGGGTACCGGCCCCTTCTGGGATGGTGCGAAATCAAATTTGAGATGGACGATGGGGCAAAAAGGATATGTACATTACAATACGAAAAGTAGGGTCGATAATTCCAGGAGGGGTGGGTGGGTCATTTCCTTTTCAGAACGGAGATACGATGTTGCGAATTCTACGTTATGCAATCCACTTCGACTGTCTTGAAGCTGTCCTCTCCACTGCTCGTGCAAACATCCCACCCTCCCACCCGCAACTTGGTCGCAAGACATCTTCAGACAAGACCGTCACGGTAGGTACTGCGTGGCACTTGGCCACGACACCGATGCCGACGACGACAGCGACATCGACGACGACGGCGCCGCCGACAGCGACTGCGACGACACCGACGACGTCTCCAATGTTTTCGACGACGACAACGACGACGACGACACCGACGACGACGACAACGACGCCGACGACGACGACGAAGACGACGACGACGTCGCCAACGGAGACGACGACGAGGGAGGAGAAAAAACGACGACGGCGACAACGACGACAACGACGATGGAGGAGGGAAGACGGCGACGACGCCAACGACGAAGAAGGAGGAAGGACGGCGACGCCGACGACGACAACGACGAGGGAGGAGGGAAGACGACGACGATGACAACGACGACGAAGACGACGACGACGGCGACGAAATAGGAGGGACGACGACGAGACGCCGACGACGGACGACGACGACGAGGGAGGAGGATAACGACGAGGGAGGAGTGAAGACCACGACGGACGACGACGACGACGACGGCGACGAAATAGGAGGGACAACGACGAGACGCCGACGAAGACAACGAGGGAGGAAGGACGACCACGGCGACAACGACGACGGAAACGACGACGACGCCAAAGACGACGAGGAAAGACAGAAGACGACGACGGACGACGACGACGACGACGACGAGGGAGGAGGGAGGACGACGACGACGACGACGACGCAAGAGCGCGCGCGCACAATTTTGTTGAAAACCCGTGTTGCGAAACCTTTTGTTTTTGTAGGTTTTTTGGACGCACGATTTCGAAATTCTTCCAAAACCGAAAGGTTTTTGAAGGATTTCGGCATACGCCCGCGACGACGCGCGCGTCTGCACTTCGTCCCATTTTGTGCAGAGGATTCTCGCGACGGCACACGCGCAAGAGCGTTCGACAGATTTCGACATGCGCGCGCGCGAAGCCCGTTTGGTAGCATTTTGCGAAAATCTGGGAAAACCTAAAGTTTTCTTAAGATTTCGAAAGAGCTCGCGCGTAAGTTTTTCTTTGAATCAGTGTTGCGAAACCATGTGTTTTTGTATGATTTTTGGAAATTCAATTTTTTAATCTCTCCAGAACCAGAAGTTTTTGAAGGATTTCGGCATGCGCGCGCCACGACGCGCGCGTGTGCACTTCGTCCTATGTTTTTGCAAGGGATTCGCGAAAAAATATTATGTTGGAACAAAAAATGTCACCGCATAGTGTATTTAACAAGGGAACCGCAGGGGGGGGAACCCGGCTTGGCTGGGATGGTATGAATTCATATTTAGGATGGACATGTGGTCAAAATCGTATGTAATTTACAGCACGCGCGGGGTAACCGATAAGTCCGGGGGGGGGGGGTAGAATCTATTAGTCTTTTAGAAAGGGGAATCTAGGCGGCGACGGGCACCGACGGGGCGGTGATGGCGGCAACATAAGCGCCCAGCTAACAGACGCGCCCAGATGACAGGCGGTGGCGAAGCGGCGACGGGGCGGCAACGGCGACAAGAGCTGCCAGAGCGGCAGACAGGCTCAGACGACGGGCGGCGACGCGGCGGCGACGGGGCGGCGACGGCGACAGCGTAGCCGCCAGAGCGGCAGGCATGCCAAGACGACGGGCGGCGACGACGTGGCGATGGGGCGGCGAGGACGACAACATAGCCGCCACAGCGGCACGCAGGCCCAGACAACAGGCGGCGACAAGGCAGCGACAGGGCGGCGACGGCGTCAACATAGCCGCCAGGGCAGCGCACAAGACCGGCCCCTCAAAGCAGACGTCAGAACCGCCAAGTGTAAACACTGCTTGGGGAATGCTTACCGTTGATCCCCCCCACTTCCAGCGCACCCCATGTTTTGAAACTCGAGTGCCCTTCCAGAGACTCCCTGCGCTTTCAAAACAAGAAATGTTTAGCCTCAGGCTGCGCTGTGCCCCACCCCGGCTACAACAATAAAAACGATCAACTAAAGACTGTGCCATTGAACACGTTAATCCCGAACCCTCGATTCTTGATCTCTTCGTTTTCTGTCGTGCCCATTTGGGGGGTTACATTCTAGGCCTGCCGCGCGTATCTTGCACGGCCTCTTGAACAAGGGGAAAAGAAAACGGATGGAAAGAAGGGACAAGGGAGAAGAAAAAGGATGGAGCACGAGAAAAATTGACAGGAGAGGGGGCTACGAACAGAAAGCACATGGCAGAACCACACAGGCATATCAGGAAGATGGACCCTAACGGGCAGGAGTGGAGAGTGAACCCAGGCGGCCGGGTTGAGCAGACGGGGTGCTGAAGCTTAAGTGGATCGCGAAGAACTGTCGAATGACAGCGCGATTCCCAAGTAATGCGTGCGAAAGGCCAGGGCGAGAGCGTGATTTCTGAATGCGGCTCCGGGATAAATTGATAGGAGGAACAACGCGAGAGCTCGATTCACGCATTCATTCTGGGGAAGTCCCTCGCAAGAGAACGATGATGGAATAACCGAATCGTTTGCGAAAAACTATGTGGAGGGAGACGCTGTTGTGGTACATTGGAGGCCAGCAACACAATCTGGACTTCAAGACTACCGCTAGTAAAACAATAACCAGGTGCGAGAAACAAGGATATTCGCTTAGTTGTTGAAGGATCACAATGATGGGCGCAATGTGGGGATCAGCAACAATGTGTACATGGCTTTCAGGAGTTGAAAATTCAACGGATCCCGCTTTGTGTTTGTCCATTATGAATTCGACAACGCGCTCTGGCGCGGGATTCCGTCACAACTTATCCATGGATCGTGCTATCACGAGGGACTTTCTCCCCATTGACTGAGACGCCGCTCCATTGACATTCCGGAATCACGCTCTCGCCCTGGACCTCCTCACATTGCACTCGGAAGCCGCGCTGTCGCTCGAGACCCCCAAACCACCGCAGGACTGATGTTTCAGCGACCCGCCTGCTCGACCGGGCCGTCTGGGCCCACTCGCCCGACCCGCCCGTTAGGGTCTGCCCGCCCGACCCGTCCGTCAATGTGTGTTGCTTGTTTTCCTGTTCGGAACCCCCTCTGCTGATAATTATTGTCTCACTCTCTCTCTTTCTCTCTCTCCCCCTCCCTCGTGCGCCATCCTTCTCCCTCCCCCATTGTCCCTTGCTTTTCATCCTCCCCCCTTCCTCTGCGTAAGGGGCTGCGCCAAATACACGTAGCAGGTACTAAAGATATGCCCCCGAAGGGGGGTACGATCGAAAACGCAGAGGGCGGGCATCGAGGGCTCGGGATACACGTGTTAACTGATACGTGAGCAGGTAACAGCGGACAATAGTACAATGATTGTTGCTGTTGCCGGAAGCGCTCCCAACAGAGAGGTGCTAAAAAACCGCGGGCCTTCTCGTATTCAGTCAGCTTCATCACGGACAGCTTGGTGAACACACGCCGGAAGCGAGGAGCGCACCGAGTCTCCAGAGACACGTCCAGGTGCTCCTGCTGGCGCACGTCCCAGAAAGCGGATAACGCACACGCAGACGCGTGATTGAGCAGGTCCTATGAGGCCACCAGCTACACACCGACAGCGATCCTTGACGGTCCAATCCTGGCCCGACGGTCGGTGTATCTGCGCCGTCCCGGCTTGGCCGGGACGGCGTATGCACCGATGCCGAGGCCATGATGGGCCCGACCAGGTCCGGCACTGGTACATAGCTGGCGTGCTCCGAGGTCCGGGGTGGCGAGCAAGACCATGTCGTGCTTCGTGTTGGTCTGGCGCAGGGAGCACCCCAAAGTCAGAGCGTTCACGATGTACTCCTCTCTGGAGACCGCCAAGGAAACACGGAGGGAGACGGAACAGCGGCCACGCATCGACGATGCATCGACGGCTGGCCCCCCGACAGTCAAACAGCGAGGCCCTGAACACGGTTGAGCGCGCAAAACCCCAAATCGGCAATGCATGGGCGAGGAGGAGGAGGAGGAGGAGGAGGAGGAGGAGGAGGAGGAGGAAGAGGAGGAGGAGGAGGAGGAGGAGGAGGAGGAGGAGGCATGGGCGACAGCGGCCCGTGCCCGCAGCGCTCCCCCCCCCGGTCCTCAGGGCTGTCCGCCTCGGGGGCCCAGAGCACCGTCACGAAGGCGAACTTGTGGCCTGCCGGGGGAAGGACATAGCGCCAGGCGGCACCGCATCGGGGAGCCGGAGCGGACCGCAGCACTCGTCGGATCCGGCCGCTGCCTCGGCATGGAGACAAAACACCGCATGTGACTACCTACCAGACCACCCCAACCCAACCCGAAGACCCGAATTTCGGGTTGGGGGGGTACGGGCTCCATACGTGTTTTCTCGATGTTCCACGACCCCCCCCCCACTGGAAATCGAGGACAAATTGGGGCCTTCGGGTTGGGTTGGGGTGGTTTGGTGGGTGGTGAGCATGGGAGCAGCTACGCCAGGATGCGCACCGGTGCCGCGCCGGCATCGGACCGCATCGGACCGCTGGAACACCAGAATCAAGTCGGACCGGGCGAAGCAGAATCGATGTCGAATCGGATCGATCAGATCGAAATGAACCGTGGAGGGCGAGCAGGGAGAGTGTCCTGGAGCGCCCTGCGCGCCACAGTGCACGTGGCGCCCTAACCCACACCAGGCACCATGCGGCGCGCCTGGTCGCTCCGCACTCTGGAGACGGCCGACTCCACAACGTGGGCCGTAGGGCCGTTCTGGCCAGGAAACAAACCACGCCAAATGCGTTGGAGACTCTCTTTGCCCTTCATGGTCAAGGGGAGCGCACTCCTTGATTAACTGCCTGGGAATAACAATGGCCGATCGGCCACAGCAGGAGCAGAAATAGACTGCAAACTCGGACCAGTAATGCAAGCGATGACTGCTGTGAAGAACGACCCCCTCCCCACCGTCATCTCTTCACTAGCCCGCGCAATCACCCCACCGAAGGATTCCAGTGCCGAATTGCAGGGATCAGCACAAGCCTCCATCGCCCTAGAGATGGGGGAGATCTTAGGGCAGAGAGAGCAAATCCCCTTCGACCCTGTTTGAATCAGACAGCAGTGCGAGCTGCGAAGGAGGGCAACTTGAAGTTGCGTGGAGCTTGCGCGGCCCAGCGCGGACCTCTCCGCCGACCAGGGCGCAACCGAAATGGAATCGACCATGGCTTGGGAGACCTCTTGCCGAGTGAAGCAACAGGTCGCGTCCCGGCGGTGGGTGCCTGGAACTCGCTGGCCTGCCCCGGCGCCTCGCCAAGATTCCCTGGCCGCTTCCGAGGCGAGCTCGTCGGCAGCGTCTGTGCCCGACGCAACGGGCATCCCATCCTCAGAGAGAGCGAGAGACAAGTTTTCTGTGCTCGGTTTTGTGTGCGATAGAGAGAGATAGGGAGAGAGTGGAGCACCTCGTCCTCAGAGAGCGAGGTTGTCCGGTGTTGCCGCTGCTGGGGCCGCAGCAGCAGAAAGAGGCCCCCTTGCAGGGCGGCCTGGGAGCGCAGACCCCCCCTGGCTCCCCGGGCGACCGCCGAGAAGCTCGAGCGTGCACGCTGCGGCACCCGTCCTCTTAGCCGGACGTGCGCCCCTGGCCTGCTGCTCGCGGGGCCGCGGCATCCATCCTGCTCTTGCTGCCGCTGCTGCTGCTGGTCCTCCTCCTCCTCCCTCTCCTCCTCCTCCTCCTCCTCCTCCTCCTCCTCCTCCTCCTCCTCCTCCTCCTCCTCCTCCCCCTCCTCCTCTTTCCTCCTCCTCCTCCTCCTCCTCCTCCGCCTCCTCCTCCTCATCAAAGCGGGGCGGGGAACCGTCTCATGGGCATCCCGCCACCGCGGCCCGCACGGGCCAGACGGACGCGAGACCACACGTCCGCACCAAACCGGCCCTGACGGGACAGACAGGACACGACGGCGCCAGCCATCGTGGAGCGGACTGCTGCCAGCGACGTGCTCGAAGGACCTCGGGCCGGTCGAGAGTGCGAGCTCAAAGTGGTATCGCCTCAGCCCCGGGGTCGGTTTGGCGAGGGCCTGGCACGGTGGAGGCCCAGCCCTTCCCGCGAGGCCGAGCCTCACCGTCTCAGGGCAAGGAGCACAGCCAGAGCGCCGACCCGTCGTCGCCGGAGGCTCGGAGCTGAATGGTCCTCCAGGCCCGTCCCCGAAGACCCGCAGCAGCTCAGAAAGGGACGAAACGGCAGGGACGGCAGCGACATCGACAATCGACGGCTACGATGGGCGAGTAAGGATAGAAGGGATGGAGTTGCCGAAGGGGCGAGAGGGATGGGATGTACTGAAATACCCCCAGCAGTGCGAGGACCACAGGAGCGACAGGAGGGCCCTCGACCCCCCCTTTCCTCCTATCCTAGTCCTTCCTCCACCACCTCCCTAATTACCTCCCCGTATCAGCTACAATGCGGGGGTCGGCTCGTGCGAGGGTCCTCGCTGGCAGCAAACGCAGTTAGTGCCACTGGCGGAACGTGGGAAGGATCTTTAGCTGCAGTGCAGGGATCAGCTCGTTCGACAGGACAGGCAGTGGCCGCAGCTGCAACTGCCTGGGCCCACGCGGCCACGGTGGAGAGAACCAACAGATACCACGCAGGGGTCCGCTCGTGCGAGAAGACAGGCGGTAGCAGCAGAGGCTGTGACTGCCACGAGAACTCCCAGAAGGCTGGAGGCCTTCTGAACCATATGATAAGGCCCGCCCCACGGGCCTTCCCAGACATGCGACGTCGCGATTCGTTAATAACATGGCCACATGGAGGTCCAGATCCCTTCCCTAACACGGGGTGCATCCTGGGTGGCTGTTGGACGGCCCCGGGGCCCGGCGAGGGCCCCAAGATGCTGAACGTTGCCGGAAACCTCCGGTCCCGAACCTGGCTCGACGCGAGCATGTCTGGAAGGGGCCGCCCCCTCTGCCTTCCCCCGTGGGCGCGCCGCCGAATCACGAGCCCGACGCTGCGCACGGAGGGGCGCTGGCTGCCGGGTGCCCCCGAGGAAGCGACCGCCTGCCGGCGAGAGGGAGGTCAGTTCGCCGGCTGGGCAGGCAACGAGCATGGCGGCGTTGGCGGCCCTGGACTGTTGGGCCATGGATTATACCAGACCACCCCAACCCAACCCGAAGACCCGAATTTCGGGTTGGGGGGTGTACGGGTTCGGTGTATGTTTTCTCGTCGTTCCCCGACCCCCCCCAACTGGAAATTGAGTGCAAATTGAGGCCTTCGGGTTGGGTTGGAGTGGTTTGGTGGGTGTGAATGGCGAGCGCCATTCTGTTCGAGTTGTCTGGACCAGCTGGCCGACAGCACGCAACCCGCAGCGCTGGTTCGACAATTCGGAAAAAGGGGATCGGCGGCCGAAACAAAGACCGCCGATCCGGCGTGAGAGCTACAAGGAGCCTCAGCAAGAGCTTCAGTTCTGAGCCTAAGCAAGAGCTTCAGCTCTAATTAAGAAGGGGTCGCCAGGGTGGCTCTGCCGGGGAAAAGGGGGAGGGGGGGGGCGGTTCCCCATCGGGCGTTTTCTTAACATTTGCGCATCCCCTAGATGTTCCGGGGGGGGCCAGGGATCCCCTCTCAGATCTAGCCGCTACCGCCCCCAGGACGCTCCCCTCGGAATCCTCCCTGGACACCCCCGGAACCGCTCGAGGCACCCCCCCAGAGGGCACGTCAGGTCCATAAAGCGACCCCGACGACTCCAAGAGCGCCCTTCCTCCCAAACAGCGTCCCCAACGACTCCAAGATCACAAAATCCGGAGCCCCCTGGATCGGCGGCACTGGCCGGAGGCCACTACAATACGAACCTGGCAGCTCAGAGTGCGACGCCACCAGGGTCGACGGCCCGACGCACTGGATCGACGACCGGACGCACGAGATCGCCAGCCCGAACCAAAGGGGTCGGCAACCAGAAGTGCAAGATCGACGGCCCAAGGGACACCAGGTCCGACAACCACGAGTACGAGATCCAGGGGATCGACAGCCAGAAGTACGAGATCGGCGATCGGGAAAAGCAGGAGCAGCAACAACGCGGAAGGCCGGAGGGACATCTCGCAGCACGAGGAGGGCGACAGCCCCAAGTACGACGAGATCGGAACCGACGCCCCGAAATGACGCACCGCAGGGCAAGCACATGATGCCGACAGCAACACACACGGGATCGATGGCCCAGGTGTCTGGATCGACGGTGCGGGGCACGGGGTCGACGGGAGAGGACTCCACGGTCACGCTGAGGGCTTGCGCTGCGTTCGCTCGGCGCGCTCTGACGGAACCCCCCCTGAGTATCGTTTAACCGATCCCCATCCCCAGAGGCGTGGCCTGGGCCCCACTGGCCGATTTACCCCCCAGATGGGGATATAGGACGTCCCCTTCGGGTTTCGAGGGGTGTATCCCCAGCTGGGGTGGTAATTTGGTAAAGGGGTCTCGAAGGGCATGGGGATGGGGATCGGTTGAACGATAGCGACCCCCCCCCCCCGGAAGCGAGGTGAGCACGCAGGGGGCGGTCAGCACGCCCCCGAACACGGCTGGCGGCATCGAGGACGCGGCCGCCGCCGCGGGCGCGCTGCTCCCAAAGAGAGCGCCGGCTCCGGCCAGGACGCGAAGACAGCGACGTCGACGCAGAAGTGCCGCCGAGGGAGCGCTAGCTGCTAGCTCCGCCAGCGGCTCCCCAGCGCGCCAGCGGCGCTGGTGCCAGCTTCGGCGGCCGCGCGGGGCAGCTTGCCGATCTCCCCGCGCACGGCGGCTTCAAAGAGCAGGGGCTTGCCACCTCGTTCGCCGGTGGGCACGCGCCCTCCTCTTCGAGATGCTCGGGTCCAACCGATCGAGAATGCTGACGGCGCGCGACCGAGTGATGCCAGGGGTGGCCCTGGCCTCAGGTGGCCCGGCCCATCCAGGGAGGCCCGAGAATGTAGCCTCCAGAACACCCTTCACGACGACGAAACGCTCCGGGGGGGCCACGAAGAAGCAGGAAACGCTGGGAACAAGCTGGTCCAGGGACATCTTTTTTGTTGGCAACCCACGTTTTAGGCGCTTGCGACCTGGAGCGTCGCAAGGCCACGAGGGCGACGAAGCTGGAGGAGTTGGCCACGCGCAGGTGGCGGCGCAGGCGTGACCGTGCACTGTGCGCCCTGGCGATCGCTGCGCACACGACGCGGCAGAAGGCCTGAGCACAGGCTCCAGAGGCCAGGCGGTGGCAGAGCCTGCGATGCTTTGACGTTCGCCTGCGCCACAGCTGCCGCCCACAGCCCCGCAAGACGTCGCAGCCCTGCTGCCAGAACCAACCCAGGTGCCGCGCGAATGCCGCGCAGTAGCCGTGCGCCGGATCAACCGCCGATATTGGTGTTGGTGTCAACCTCCTTTTTTTGACCAACGGCCACGCTGCCAGCCATTTTGCTGTTGCCCCCCATGGCTCCGCCGCCTCCGCCTCCGTTGGCTTGTGTCCCCGCTCCCTGTCCGCAGCCTGGCTCCAGCCTGCCTCGCGGCCACGGGCGGGGCCCCCTCCTCGGGGCTTCCCGCGCTCGAGGGGGACCGCCCGACGCGCGCGGCCCCGCCCCCGCGCGCGGCCGCCGCGCAGCCTGCGCTTGCACGGCGCGCGCGCGCCGCGGCCGCGGAGGCGCCGCGCCCGCCCGCGCAGGGCCGCCCAGCCGCCCCCCGCGCGCGGCGGGGCGGGGGAGCCAGCCCCGGGACGGGGCTCCACGCTCTGTCCGCCACGTTTAGCGAGGCACCCTACGGCGGGGGGAGGGCGGGCGAGGACGGGAGAGATCCAACGTTGGGCCCAAAAGCCTCGAGGTCTCGGCGCGCCCGCGGGTCCAGAGGAGGCATCGGGCGCCGCAGCCGCCCCGAAGCCGATCGTGGGGGCGCCCCGAGGCCGTCCTGAAAGGCACTGGAGTGGAGGGGTTTAGGCCTGCCTGCTGCAGCTCCTCCTGCACCTCCTCCTCCTCCTCCTCCTCCTCCTCCTCCTCCTCCTCCTCCTCCTCCACCTACGCACCGCTCCACACCGATCCCAAGTCCGCCGTGCCTCGACGCTCGGCGGTAGCCGTTCGTACGCCGACGAGCTGTGCCATTCGCGCCGTTCTCTCATCCCGCCCCTCCCCTTGGAGGCTGGAGCCCCGCACGCCCGGTGGAGGATGGGGCCTCCTGAGCGACGGCGACCACGCCCGCGTCCACCTCTGAGGGGAGGCGTTTGGGGGGGGGGCCAGCCCGGGGAGGGCAACATCGACCTGTCGGCGATATGCCGCTGGCAGATCGGCGCCAGCCCCCCGACGGCGACTCCACACGCCGCTGGCAGATGGGCGCCAGACCCCCGACAGCGAATCCACAAGGTCCATGGTGGGTGGGGCTCTCGGGCCCTGCTCGAGGATCGATGGGCGCCCGTATAGGCCTCCTGGATGTGGTCCGAGTAGATGGGGTCGACGGATCGCGCCGCATCGCCGACGCATCGCCGATGCGTCGGCGGTGCACCGGCCACGTCGGCGGTGCATCGGCGAAGTCGTCGTGGAGAAAATCGGGCTCCGCACCGAGCCGCATCGTCGATATGCTGGCGATGCGGCGCGACCCTCCGACCCCATCGGCTCGGACCCCATCTGGGGGGCCTATAGAGGCTGGGGGTCGATGCATCCCTCTCTCTCTCACTCTCTCTCTCTCTCTCTCTCTCCCCCTCTCTGAGCAGATCCCCCCCTGACTTGTGTTGCTCCCATCGTACTACAGGACCGCATCCCTGAAATAATTTCGAGCGCCTGGAAAAGTGTCGAGAGAGCGTCAAAACAGTGTCGGGCGAGTGTTCCCCAGGGCCCGACAAGGGAAAACCTTCGAGTTTCGGCACTTTTTTCTGGTGCTCGAAATGCTTTCTGGCGGTCAAGGCTAATCGGCGGTGGACAAACCTCCCTTTAGTAGACCTCCCCTTAATGAAAACGGCCTGGGACGGGAACCGACGCACCTGCACCCGCAAAAATTCGGCCGCGACGCCCTCTCGCGAACCGAAGACGGCCAATTCCCTAGTCGACGTGTCAGGGTAGGAGGTCTGTCCACTCCCGAGCTAAAACAGGCTGGAACATCAGAACCCATGACGGTCAAGCTCGACATGCTTTCTGGCGGTCAAGGCTAAAGTAGGTTTAGGTCGGGCCTGTCCCCCTACAGGGGGGCTTTGGACGAAATATTCAAAGACTCGAACATGCGCAAAACAAATACCCACAACAAATCGAAACATAGTCCCCAGACTGTTTTTTGACTATTCTTGCATATCCCCCCTTGTGGTGGGACAGGCCCAGCATAAAAGTAGGTTGCCACATCATTCAGCGAGCGAAGAACGGTATAACATAACCTTTCCGCCGTCGGGGACACCTGCCCCTGGGCGGCTGGAAAGTTTATACCCCTACGGTGCCACCGTAAGGGTATAAACTTTCCAGTCGCCCTGGGACAGGCGCCCCCGACAGCGAAAACGTTTATTTTACACCGTTCTTCGCCCGTTAAATCATAAAGCCCCCGACGTCGCCCCCGCACCTCCGCCGCGCCCCTGCTGCCGCGGCGCCTCCCTCCCGGGCGGCGCCGCCGCCGCCGAGGCGGCGGCCCGGCTCGGCGCCGG